GCTGTGCGGGTTGGGGACGCTCGGTACCACTGCGGGGTGATGAGGTGGGATCCATCCCACCGGTGGTGGTCCCAGGCTCCAGCATCCATGGACACGGGGTGGGGGGCACATCCCGGCTGTGGATTGAGGTGTGGGGGGGGTGTTGTACACCCCGTCAGGGTGTTGTACACCCGATGATGGGGTTGTGAGCTGCAGTGGGGGGTGCACGCCATGGGTCTGCGTGTGAAGCTGGGGAGGGGGTTACACACCCAGAGCAGGGCTTGGACAAGCACTGGGGGCTGTTGGGCACCCAGGCAGAGGTCTGCACACCCGGGGGGGGGTGTTGGGTGTTACACACCTGGTAACAGGGTTCCACACCCATTGGGGGCTGTTGCACACCCATGAGCGGTTGTTACACACGTGTTAGGGGCTGTTGCACACCCTTTGGGGTTGTTACACACGTGTTAGGGGCTGTTACACACACATTAGGGGTCCTTGCACACCCATTAGGAGCTGTTGAACACCCTGTAGGGTTTGCCACATGCCCATTAGGGGACATTGCCCACCCCTTAGGGGCTGTTGCCTGTTCCGGGAGTACCCCCAGTGAGCGGGTTGCACACCCATTGGGGGCTGTTGCACGCCCAGTAATGGGGCTGCCCTCCCGTTAGGAGCCGTTTGCACCATTTAGGAGCTGTTCCCCTCCCGTTAGGAGCCGTTTCCTTCCCGTTAGGAGCTGTTTACACCCGTTAGGAGCCGTTTCGCACCCTTTAGGTGCTGTTTCCCTCCCATTAGGAGCCGTTTACACCCTTTAGGAGCCGTTTACACCCTTTAGGAGCCGTTTCCCTCCCGTCAGGAGCCGTTTACACCCGTTAGGAGCCGTTTCGCACCCTTTAGGTGCTGTTTCCCTCCCGTTAGGAGCCGTTTACACCTTTAGGAGCCTTTTCCCTCCCGTCAGGAGCCGTTTACACCCTTTAGGAGCCGTTTTACGCCCGTGAGGAGCCTTTTCCCTCCCGTCAGGAGCCGTTTACACCCGTTAGGAACTGTTCCCCTCCCGTTAGGAGCCGTTTCCCTCCCGTCAGGAGCCGTTTACACACTTTAGGAGCCTTTTCCCTACCGTTAGGAGCCGTTTACACACTTTAGGAGCCTTTTCCCTCCCGTTAGGCGCCGTTTCCCTCCCGTCAGGAGCCGTTTACACCCGTTAGGAACCGTTCCGCTCCCGTCAGGAGCCGTTTCCCTCCCGTTAGGAGCCGTTTACACCCGTTAGGAACTGTTCCCCTCCCGTCAGGCGCCGTTTCCCTCCCGTTAGGAGCCGTTTCGCACCCTTCAGGCGCCGTTTCCGTCCCGCCGGCTGCCGCTGCGCTCGGGGCCAGCCCCATGGGGGGCGGTCCGTGGGGCCGGTCCCGGACGTCCTCCCCGCCCCGCTCGGTGCCGCCATGGCGGAGCCGGGCGCGGGGGACCCCGGGGCTCTGCTGAGCGGCGGCAGCGAGCGGCGGTGCCGGGCGCGGTTGGCGGCGGCTGCGGGGCGCGGGGGGGCAGCGGCGGCCGCGGTGCTGGTGCCGCTGTGCTCGGTGCGGGGCCGGCCCGCGATGCTCTTCACGCTGCGCTCCCGCAGCCTGGGCGGGCCCCACAGCGGCGATGTCAGGTACCGGTACCGGCACCGGGCACCGAGCACCGGAGCCTCAAACACCCCCCCCCCCCGCTCCCTCCTTCTCCCTTTGGGTCTTGCAGCTTCCCCGGGGGGCGGCGGGACCCGGCGGACGGAGACGCGGTGGCCACGGCGCTGCGGGAGACGCGGGAGGAGCTGGGGCTGGCGCTGGGGGAGCCGAGCGTGTGGGGGCAGCTGCGGACGCTGCCGGACCGGGTACCGGGCACCGGAGAGGGGACGAGGACACGCAGGGGATGAGGGCAGGGACATGGGGTGGGGAGGGTAGGGGGGGACACGGGCACGGGGTGACAGGGACATGGGGTGGGACAGGGACATGGGGTGGCAAGGACTCGGGTTATAGGGATGTGGGTTATAGGGATATGGGGTGGGACAGGGATATGGGGTGGGACAGGGACATGGGGTGGCAAGGACTGGGGTTATAGGGATGTGGGGTTATAGGGATATGGGGTTATAGGGATATGGGTTATAGGGATGTGGGGTTATAGGGATATGGGTTATAGGGATGTGGGGTTATAGGGATGTGGGTTATAGGGATATGGGTTATAGGGATATGGGTTATAGGGATATGGGATGGGACAGGGACATGGGGTGGCAAGGACTGGGGTTATAGGGATATGGGGTTATAGGGATGTGGGGTTATAGGGATGTGGGTTATAGGGATATGGGTTATAGGGACATGGGGTGGGACAGGGACATGGGGTGGCAAGGACTGGGGTTATAGGGATGTGGGGTTATAGGGATGTGGGTTATAGGGATGTGGGGTTATAGGGATATGGGTTATAGGGACATGGGGTGGGACAGGGACATGGGGTGGCAAGGACTGGGGTTATAGGGATGGGGGTTATAGGGATGTGGGGTTATAGGGATATGGGGTTATAGGGATATGGGATGGGACAGGGACATGGGGTGGCAAGGACTGGGGTTATAGGGATATGGGGTTATAGGGATATGGGGTGGGACACAGGTGACACAGACACAGCGTGACAGGGATGTGGGGTGGGACAGGGACACGGGGTGGCAAGGACTCGGGTTATAGGGATATGGGGTTATAAGGATATGGGGTGGGACACGGGTGACACAGACACAGCGTGACAGGGATATGGGGTGGGACATGGATACGGGGTGGCAAGGACTGGCGTTATAGGGATGTGGGGTTATAGGGATATGGGGTGGGACAGGGACATGGGGTGACAAGGACATGGGGTTATAGGGATGTGGGGTTATAGGGATATGGGGTTATAGGGATATGGGTTATAGGGATATGGGGTGGGACATAGGTGACACAGACACAGCGTGACAGGGATATGGGGTGGGACATGGACACGGGGTGGCAAGGACTTGAGTTATAGGGATATGGGGTTATAGGGATATGGGGTGGAACACGGGTGACACAGACACAGGGTGACAGGGATATGGGGTGGGACATGGACATGGGGTGGCAAGGACTTGGGTTATAGGGATATGGGGTTATAGGGATGTGGGGTTATAGGGATGTGGGGTTATAGGGATGTGGGGTTATAGGGGTATGGGGTGGGACAGGGGTGACACAGACACAGGGTGACTGGGATATGGGTAAGAGGGACACAGGGCACTGGCTGCAGGCAGAGTTGGGTGACAGGCACGTGATGGGTGCCCATGTGGGATGCAGGGGGTCATGGGTGGTACCCTGGGGACAGGGGGTCCATCACCTCCAGCCCTTGCTGAGCCTCCTTGCAGCAGGGGGTAGCACAGATACAGGGTGACAGGGACACAGGGCACAGGCTGCAAGCAGTGGGGTATTGGGTGACAGACACGTGATGGGTGCCCATGTGGGATGCAAGGGGTCATGGGTGGCACTGTGGGGATGGGGGGGTCACCAATGGCACTTTGGGGACGGGGGCACCAGTGGCACTATGGGGACGGGCAGGTCACCAATGGCACTATGGGGACAGGGGGGTCACCAATGGCACTATGGGGACGGGGGGGTCACCAATGGCACTTTGGGGACAGGGGGGGCACCAGTGGCACTATAGGGATGGGGGGGTCACCAATGGCACTATGGGGACGGGGGGGTCACCAATGGCACTTTGGGGACAGGGGGGGCACCAGTGGCACTATAGGGATGGGGGGGTCACCAATGGCACTATGGGGACGGGGGGGTCACCAATGGCACTTTGGGGACAGGGGGGGCACCAGTGGCACTATAGGGATGGGGGGGTCACCAATGGCACTATAGGGACGGGGGGGTCACCAATGACACCATAGGGATGGAGGGGGGGTCACCAGTGGCACTACGGGGATGGAGTCGTCGCCAGTGGCACCATGGGGATGGGGGGGGTCACCAGTGGCACCATGGGGATGGGGGGGTCACCAATGACACCATAGGGACGGAGGGGGTTCACCAGTGGCACCGTGGCGATGGGGGCTCACAGGCAGCACTCTGGGGCCAGGGTTCCACCTCCCCACCCCTTGCTGACCCCCCCTGCAGCAGGGGCTGACGGTGGCCCCCGTGGTGGCCAACCTGGGTCCTCTGGAGAAGCTGACGCTGGCTCCCAACCCGGACGAGGTGGGTGACCCCGCACCGGCCCCGTGAGCAGCACCCCCTGCCCCGGTGTCCCCCCCGTCCCCCGGTGCCACCACCGGCACCCCCCCGCCTGTGCCGCAGGTAACGGAGGTCTTCACCCTGCCCCTGGCTCACCTCCTGCGGGAGGAGAACCAGGGCTACACCCACTTCCGCACCGCCGGCCGCTACGGCTACACCCTGCCCGTGTTCCTCAACGGGCCCCACAAGGTCTGGGGGCTCACGGCCATCATCACCGAGCTGACCCTGGAGCTCCTGGCGCCCGAGCGCTACCGCAGCAAGACCGTGGTGCCGGGCCGGCACCGCTCCGCCTGACGCCGCGGCGGCACCGCGGTTGTGCGGTTCTTCGGCGATGGGGCTGCCCCCCTACCCCGTGGCTGCTGCTGCCCATCGTGGAACACTGTGACTGAGTAAAAAGCCATGTTTGGAAGTGCTCGTGCCATGGGCATCAGCGCCAGCACCACGGGGGGGGACGGACAGGACACAGAGCTGTGCCCCTTGGCACCGGCACGAGCCACAGCGGTGCCACCGCGGTGCTGGCCCTGGGGCCATGCAGCACCCTGGCTGCTTGGTGCTGCCCCATGTCCTACCCCATAGAGAGGCCATGGGGCTGATCCTTGGGGATCTCTTAAGAGATTCCCTGCTCCCAGAGAGGCAGGACCCAGCGCCCCTCCCCACTGCTCCCTTCCCACATTTCCGACCCACAACCGCCTCCTGCTGCTCTTTTCAAGCAGGGAGAGGCCCCACGAGCACAGCAGCGTTTATTGAGCCCCACAAGCTGCTCTGACACCCCCACCCAGGCAGGGAGCAGCAGAAGAACCCCCCCCCCATCCTTACGCTGATGCCGCTCGGGCTTTGGCCTCCCCATAGCGCCGCATCCTCTCCTCCAGCTCGGGTCGGAAGTGGCGGATGAGGCCCTGAGCAGAGCAGGGTTAATGGGGTGGGGAAACAACTCCCAGCCCCCCCCCCGCCCCACATCTGCCCCCCAAGTGCTCCCCCCACCTGCACCGGCCAGGCGGCGCCGTCGCCCAGGGCGCAGATGGTGTGGCCCTCGATCTGTTTGCTGATCTCCCAGAGCGCGTCGATCTCGGCCGCCTGCGCGTTGCCCTGCACGAAGCGAGCCATCACCTTGTTCATCCAGTCCACACCTGCGGGGATGGGGAGGGCGTGAGGGTTGAGTTGGGGGGCTGTGTGACCCACACCCTGCCCCACGGCTCCGTGCCCCTCGCCTCCTGCCCCACGGCTCACCCTCCCGGCACGGCGTGCACTGCCCGCAGCTCTCGTGCTTGTAGAACTCGATGAGGCGAGCGATGGCTTTGACGACGTCGGTCTGGGGAGGAAGAGGAGGGTGAAGGCGGTGCTGTGACACTGGGGTGGGGGGGAAGGCACAAAGAAGGGGCTGCTCCCTTACTGATTTATCCATGACGATGACAGCGGCCGTGCCCAGCCCGCTCTGCGCCTGCACCAGGGCGTCGAAGTCCATGAGCACCGTCTCGCACACGGACTTGGGGAGCAGCGGCGTGGACGAGCCCCCCGGGATGACGGCCAGGAGGTTGTCCCAGCCCCCCCGGACCCCCCCTGCCGAAAAACAAGGGGTCAGAGAGACCCAAAGTGGGCCCAGCGCCGGCGTGCCCTGTGCCACCTACCCGCGTGCTTCTCAATGAGCTCCTTCAGCGGCACCGACATCTCCTCCTCCACCGTGCAGGGGCTGTTGACGTGGCCGGAGATGTTGAAGAGCTTCGTGCCCGAGTTGCGCTCCCGGCCGAAGCTGGCGAACCAGGCCCCGCCGCGGCGGCAGATGGTGGGGGACACGGCCACCGTCTCCACGTTGGCCACCGTGGTGGGGCAGCCGAAGACACCTGGAGGAGGGCAGAGCACAACGGTGGCACCGGCACCGCAACGCCCCATCCCTGGCCGCGCTCCAGGCCGGGTCGGACACGGGGGCTTGGAGCAAGCTGCTCCAGTGGAAGAGGTTGGAGCTGGAGGAGCTTTAAGCTCCCTTCATCCCACCCCATCCCATGATCCTAGGAGCATCCAGCGCCGTACCCACATCAGCAGGGAAGGGTGGTTTCAGCCGGGGCTTGCCCTGCTTGCCCTCAATGGACTCGATCAGCGCCGTCTCCTCCCCGCAGATGTAGGCTCCAGCGCCCCTCACCACGAAGACATCAAAGGCGTACCCGGACCCACAGGCGTCCCCCCCCAGCAGCCCGGCTTCATAGGCCTCCCTCAGGGCCACCTGCAGCAGAGAGCGGGCTCGCGTGGCTCCCGGGGGGGGGGGCTCCCCTCCTTGCCCACCCCCCCAGTGCCCCCAGCCCTCACCTGCAGGTTGGAGGCCTCGTTGTAGAACTCGCCGCGGATGTAGATGTAGGCAGCGCGGGCGCCCATGGCCCGCCCGGCCACCAGGCAGCCCTCGAGCAGCTTGTGCGGGTCGTGGCGCATGATCTCCCGGTCCTTGCACGTGCCGGGCTCCCCCTCGTCCGCGTTCACCACCAGGTACTTGGGTCTGGATGGGGGCGGGCGCCATCACCCCCGTGCTCCGCACAAGGGCAGGGGCCCGGTGGCGCCGGTCCCGGCTCTCACCTCCCATCGGGGGGTTTGTTCATGAAGCTCCACTTGAGGCCCGTGGGGAAGCCGGCGCCGCCGCGGCCGCGCAGCCCCGAGGCCTTGATCTCAGCCAGGATCCAATCGACGCCCTTGAGCAGGATCTCCTTGGTCTTGTACCAGTCCCCGCGGCGCAGCGCGCCCTGCAGTCTGTGGAGCGGCACGGCCGGTGGCACCGGGACCGGCACCGGGATCCACCCCCCCACCCACCCACCGACCCCCGGTCCTCACCTCCAGTCGTGCCGCCCATAGAGGTTGGTGAAGATGCGGTCCTCATCCTTCAGCGACCCGAACTGCGTCTTCTTGGGTGCTGTCTGCGGGGAGACACGTACCGGTAACACCGGTAACTATGGCAGTACCGGTAACACCGATAACACCGGTACCACCACTAACACCAATAACACCGGTACCACCGATAACACCGGTAACACTGGTAACTGCGACATTACTGGTACCACCAATAACACCGATAACACCGGTAACTGCGACATTACTGGTAACACCAATAACACCGATAACACCGGTAACTGTGGCAGTACCGGTAACACCAACAACATTGATAACACCGGTAACTGCGGCAGTACCAATAACACCGGTAACACCGGTAACTGCAGCAGTACTGGTAATACTGATAACACTGGTAACAACAATAACTGTGGCAGTACCGGTAACACCAGTAACACTGGTAACCACAGTACTACCGGTCACACTGATAACACCGGTAACCACGGTTGTACTGGTAACACCGATAACGCTGGTATCCAAGGTAGTACCGGTAACATCAAGAACACCAGTACCTGCGGCAGTACCAGTAACACCGATAGCCACAGTGCAGGTAACACCAATAACACCGGTAAGCACTGCAGTACCGGTGGCAGTGATAACACCGGTAACCACCGCACTACCAGTAGCACCGGTAATGCCAGTAACCACTGCAGTACCAGTAGCACCGATAACGCTGGTACCCGCCGCAGTACTGGTACCACCGATAACACCGGTAACCGCCGCAGTACTGGTAGCACCGATAACACCAGTACCCACCGCAGTACCGGTAGCACCAATAACACCGGTAACCCCCGCAGTACCAGTAATGCCGGTAACCCCCCGCAGTACCGGTACCACCGATAACACCGGTACCCGCCGCCGTACCGGTAGCACCGACAACACCGGTACCCGCCGCAGTACCGGTAGCACCGATAACACCAGTACCCCCCTGCAGTACCGGTAGCACCGATAACACCGGTACCCGCCGCAGTACCGGTAGCAGCGATAACACCGGTACCCCCCGCAGTACCGGTACCACCGATAACACCGGTACCCGCCGCAGTACCGGTACCACTGATAAACACCGGTAACCACCGCAGTATCGGTAGCAGCTGTAACACCGGTACCCGCCGCAGTACCGGTAGCAGCGATAACACCGGTACCCGCCGCAGTACCGGTAGCAGCGATAACACCGGTACCCGCCGCAGTACCGGTACCACCGATAACACCGGTACCCGCCGCAGTACCGGTACCACCGATAACACCGGTACCCCCCGCAGTACCGGTACCACCGATAACACCGGTAACCCCCTTAGTACCGGTACCACCGATAACACCGGTACCCCCCGCAGTACCGGTACCACCGCGGGCTCACCGAGAAGGAGGCCGCGGCCCCGGGCAGGCGGCGCAGGCCCAGCAGCTGCCGGGCGGCCATGGCGGGCACCGGCACCACCGTCACCTTCAGCCGCCCCCGTAGCGGCGCCGCGCTGTGACGTCACCAACCAGCGACGCGACGCTCGCCTCAGCGGGGACAGCGGCGCAGGGGGGCGTGGCCGGGGGGGGGGGCGTGGTCTCAGGGAGGGAGGGGCGTGGTTACATGACCGTGGATGGGGCGTGGCTTAGGGGAGGGGGCGTGGCCACTCTGGCCCCGCGCCGCCACGTGCCCCGGGCGCGGGTCGGGTTTCGGGCTGTAACCGGAGGCCGCCGCTCGAACTCCCCCGGTGCCCCCCGGGGCGCCCGGTGCCGATGCCCCCCTCCCGGCTCCGTGCGGGGGCTCCGTTGCTCCGAACCGGGCCCCCCGGTACCCGCGGTACCCCCGGGCCCGCTCTGCCCCCGCCGCAGCCCTGTCTGTGCCCCTGCTCCCCCCGCACGGGCCCTGCCTTCGACCCGGCGAGGGAGCGGGGCCGGCCCGAGCGCAGGGCCGCGGGGATCCGGTTTCCCCCCTGCCAAGCTCCGAGGGTAGCAGAGGGACCGGCGGGCAGCGGCGGCTGTTGCCATGTTCTTCCTCTTCCGAGCACCCACCCGGCGGGGCACCGGCGGCCCCGCGCCCCCCAACCGCTCCCAGAGCGCTCAGGCCGGCCGCCGCGTCCACCCGGCCCCACGGTTTGGGGGCCGGCGGAACCGCGGCACCGCCAGCACCTTGGGATGCGCGTGTTTCCCTATGGAGCATCATCGGGCCTCCGAGGAGACGGGGCCCCCGCTGCCCCCCGCTTCCCGGCAGGTAACCGGCGAGGCCCCGGAGCCCGTGGGGAGGGTGGGGGGCCGGGAACAGCTGGGCGGCTCCCCACATCTGGAGCAGGGCATAATCCGGGGGATTATGCGTGTGCGCGGGCACGGCCCCCCCCCGCTGCCCTGCATATCCCCAGATATTCCATAAAAACCTCCAATCCCGGCACAGCCGCTCCCGCTCCCCCCCCCAACCCTGGGCCCTCTCCCCCCCCCCCCGGGGCCGGGCATGCCCTGCGGCGCGGGCGCAGCCCCGGCCATGGGCAACTGCACCAAGACCCCCGAGCGGAGGCTCCCCAAGGTACGGGCGGCCCTTGGGTGCGCGGTGGGAGCAGGGGGAAGATGAGGGCCCCCCCCCTTTCTCCTCGCTGCTGACCCCGTGTTGTCCCCGCAGGACGGGAAGCCACGCTCCGGCCCCGTGCCTCCCGGTGCCGGGGACCCCGAGGAGGTGTCGGAGGCGGCGCAGTCCCCCCCGTTGCAGGGCTACTCGGTGCTGCAGGGGCTGGTGGGGCCGGCCTGCATCTTCCTGCGGCAGAGCATCGCCATCACCCAGCGGGTACGCACGGGAGCCGGCACGGGGTGGGGGGGGCGGTGGGAGAAGGACCCTTCCGTTGGCACTTGCCATGTTCTCCCTATGCCAGGACCGAGAGCTGCGGCCTGAAGAGATCGAAGGTGAGTGCTGGGGGTCTGTGCCGCGGGGCGCCGTGCGGTGCCGTGCGGTGACGTCCCACGGTGCTCCCAGAGCTGAAGCAGGCGTTCCGGGAGTTCGACAAGGATCACGATGGCTACATCAGCTACAAGGACCTGGGCGAGTGCATGCGGACCATGGGCTACATGCCCACCGAGATGGAGCTCATCGAGCTGTCCCAGCAGATCAGTATGTGGGGGGGGGTGGTCATGGGGTGGGGGGGAGAGCCCCCCATCACCCTGCCTGCCCCACATCGCCCTGTTCCCCCCCTTCCTGTCACAGCCGGGGGCAAAGTGGATTTCGATGACTTTGTGGAGCTGATGGGCCCCAAGATGCTGGCGGAGACAGCGGATATGATCGGGATCAAGGAGCTGCGCGACGCCTTCCGCGAGGTGAGCGGACAGCGATGGGGATGGGGGGGGACGGGGGAACCTGGCGGCGCCCCGAGGGCGGCGTCACCCCTGGGTGCTCGCCCGCAGTTCGACACCAACGGCGACGGGCAGATCAGCATGGCAGAGCTGCGGGAGGCCATGCGCAAGCTGCTGGGGCAGCAGCTCAACTACCGCGAGGTGGACGAGATCCTCAAGGACGTGGATCTCAATGGGGACGGGCTGGTGGACTTCGAAGGTAGGATGGAGGGGCTGGGGAAGGTGGGGGGGGGACGGGAGCGGGAGCATCCTCAGGGATGCTCGGGATGCTCCGTGCGTATTCCCCCGCTGGCAGAGTTTGTGCGGATGATGTCGCGCTGAGGGCGGCGTGTGCCAACACGGGACCGCACCGTGCCTTACGAAGAGGAGGGGGCCACGGAGACACCCGGTACCGGTGCTGGTACCGGTGCCCAAGCCCGGGGCAAGGCCCTCACCGGCGGTGCTCAGCCTCATCCTTGGCTTTGTGCCGAGGTCCCAGCGCGGCGGTGGGCACCGGGGATGCCACCGGGCAGGGCTTTGGCTGCTCTCGCCCTCATCTCTGCCCTCAGCGTTCCCCTTTCTGCCCTGAGCTCATCCCAAAGCCCTCCCTGCTCAGCCCCACAGCCTCCCCCTGGCTCCCACACCCAACCCTGTCCCCCCACGCTGTGATTCCGGGTGTATCCCGCTGCCTGTCCCCCGTTACCTACCCCAGAGGTGGCCGGGGCCGGGGATCCCGCTGCTTCCCGGGCCCGGGTGGACGTTCCTCAGGGCTTCAACCGGGACATCCTCCAGGGAAGAAGCCGGGAATGAAGCATCCCGGTTCCACTGCGGATGGGGAGCAGCGTGTGGGAGCGGCAGGATCCTGCCCTGGGAGCACTTGGGGGTGAAATTTGCCCTTTTGAAATGAAAAGAAATCAGCTGCCTGGCCACTGCTTTGTCTTTGTGTGGGGTTTAGGCACAAGCTGTGGGGCACCGCCTGTCCTGGTGGGGTGGGTGTTACCGGGGGGGGGGGGAACACCGGGACTGGTGGGGCCAGTACCAGGGATCCTCATCCCTGATCCTTTCCCATCACCCCGCTGGGGCCATGGGGCTCGTGGGGGGGGGGGGCACACCAAGGTGTCACATCCAGTTGGTGACCGGTCACTGGTGGTGGCCCTCAGGGCTTGGGGTTGGGGCCAGTGCTGTTTGCTATCTTCATTGATGATCTGGATGAGGGCATGGAGGGCACCCTGAGTCACTTCACATGACACCAAGGGCGGGAGCTGATCTGCTGGAGGGAGGATAGGGAGGCTCTGCAAGAAGGATCCGGCCAGGCTGGATCCCTGCGTTGTGGTCACTGGTGTGAGATCCAACCAGGCTCGGTGCTGGGTCCTCACCCTGGGCCACAGCAGCCCCATGGAACGCTCCAGGCTGGAAAGGAGCTGCTGGAGCTGAGCAGGAGCAGCTTGTGCCCAGGCAGCCAAGAAGCCCCCAGCATCCTGGTACTGCACCAGCACCAGTGCGGCAGCAGGAGCAGGGCAGGGACTGGGCACGGGGCTGGGCACTGGGGAGGCTCTCACCCCCCCCATAGCCCTCAGTGCCGCGGCCATTGCTGGGTTAAGGGCTGTTTTTAACCATTTCCGCCTCTTTTCCACCCAAACCCAAAGGGGCGGGGCTGACGCCGCGCGTCTCCACGGTGACCCGGGAAAGGGGCGGGGCAGGCGGCGCGCTGACGTCAGCGCGGCGTCGCACGCCGTCCCGCGTCATCAGGGCGAGCGGCGGTGCCGGCGGAGGCCGGGTCGGGTCGGGTCAGAGCTCGCCGGGGACCGGGGCCTCGCTCCCCGCGGTTCCACTTCCCCCCCTGCCCGCGGGGCTCCGGGGCTGAGCTGAGCTGAGCAGCGGCGGGCACCGGCCGGGGGAGCGCGGGGGCCGCTCACCGAGCCCCGCCGCGCTGCAGGGCGCCGGGAGCGGCGGGCGGCCGTCGGGGATGTCCTACAAGCCCATCGCTCCCGCCCCAGCTAACCCCGGAGCCGCCAGCGCCAGCCCTGCCCCGCCGGGGCCTGGGGCACCTCCCGCCGGTGAGCGCGGCCCTGCGAGGGAAGGGGAGGGCACCGGAGGTTGTGGGCAACCGGTAACTCCGCGTTTCTCGTAGCCACGAGCGTCCCTTCGCCCTCCGGTTCCGTCCCCGGCGCCGCCGCCGCTTTCCGGCCCCTCTTCAATGACTTCGGGCCGCCGTCCATGGGCTACGTGCAGGTGAGGCCGGGGTTGGCCCCGGGCTGACGGAGGGCAGCGGGGCCGCTCCTCACCCTTCCGTGCTTCCCTCTCCGCAGGCGATGAAGCCCCCCGGGGCTCAGGGCTCGCAGAGCACCTACACCGACCTGCTCTCCGTCATCGAGGAGATGGGGAAGGAGATCCGGCCCACGTACGCCGGCAGCAAGAGCGCCATGGAGCGGCTGAAGCGCGGTAGGAGCGGGGACGGGTCCCCGTTTCCCCGGTGCCTCCTCGTCTTGTCCCCCCCCGGTTTGATGCGCGCTTGTCCCTTGTGCTTCTCCCCGCAGGCATCATCCACGCCCGGGCGCTGGTCCGGGAGTGCCTGGCAGAGACAGAGCGCAACGCCCGCACGTAACGGCTGCTGCCCCCCGGGACCCCCGCCGGGAGCCCCGGTGTCCCTGCCCCGCTGACGGCGGCGGTGGGGGGGGGGGTGTGTGTGGGGGGGAGCGGCCGTGCTGCCCTCGGCCCTCCCCTCCCCCCCCGCGCTCTCCGCTCTTTCTAAATGCGTGTTTTTATAAATAAAGGACGTGGTTGGGGCTCTGCCTCCGGTTGTGGCTCCCGGGGGGGGGTGGTGGAGGGGGGCACACGGATAAGAAGGGGTCTTGGTGCCCTGGTGGCTGCAACCGGTGGCACCGGGGCAGGGGTTGGGGGGGGTGCCGCGGTGCTGTGGGGTCTGAGCCGTGCAGGAATGAGCAAAACGCGGTTTTTGCCCTAAAATCAAGGGCTGGTTCTAAGGGAAGCCCCGTCTGGTTCCGGTCCCGGTTCCGGTCCCAGCAGGATCGGGCCCGGGGGGGCGGACCCGGTGCTGCCCGTGCCTCCCCCCCCCGCCTCTGACGTCACGGCTCCCCCCTACTACGTCACGGCGGGCTGTGATGTCACGGAGCAGCGCAGGTTCGGCGGGGGGAGCCGAAGGGAGCCGAAGGGGGGGGGGGGGGGGGGCGGAGCCGAAAAGTGCCGAGTGGTTCCGAAGAGCGGCGGGCGGAGCCGAGCGGGCGGGGGGCGCGTTGCCATGGGAGCGGGGCGGGCCCCGGAGCGCCGCAGCGGGCGCCGGGCCGGGCCGGGCCGGAGCGGGGCTGAGCGGGGGCCGGGTCCCGGGCGGCCCTGCGGGCGCTGCCCCCCGGAGCCATGCTCATCAAGGAGTACCGCATCGTGCTGCCCATGAGCCTGGACGAGTACCAGGTGGCCCAGCTCTACATGATCCAGGTGGGGAATGGCGGGCGCGGGGGCCGGGGGGGATGTGGGGTGTAGGGAGCGCGGGCTATGGGGGGCTGAGGGGCTGAGCGTGAGGGGTGCCGAGAGCCGTGGGGCTGAGCATGGAGAAATGGGGGGTGTAGGGGTTATGGGGCTGAGCGTGAGGGGCACCGAGAGCTGTGGGGCTGAGCATGGAGCAATGGGGGGTGCCGAGAGCTGTGGGGCTCAGCGTGGAGCAATGGGGATGCAGGGGCTATGGGGATGAGCGTGAGGGGTGCCGAGAGCTGTGGGGCTGAGCATGGAGCAATGGGGGGTGCCGAGGGCTGTGGGGCTGAGCATGGAGCAATGGGAGGTGTAGGGGTTATGGGGCTGAGCATGAGGGGCGCCGAGAGCTGTGGGGCTGAGCATGGAGCAATGGGGGATGCAGGGGCTATGGGGCTGAGCATGAGGGGTGCCGAGAGCTGTGGGGCTCAGCATGGAGCAATGGGGGGTGCCGAGAGCTGTGGGGCTCAGCGTGAGGGGTGCCAAGAGCTGTGGAGCTGAGCATGGAGCAAGGGGGGGTGCAGGGGCTATGGGGCTGAGCGTGGGGGGCGCCGAGAGCTGTGGGGCTGAGCATGGAGCAATGGGGGGTGCCGAGAGCTGTGGGGCTGAGCGTGAGGGATGCCGAGAGCTGTGGGGCTGAGCATGGAGCATTGGGGGGTGCCGAGAGCTGTGGGGATGAGCGTGAGGGGTGCCGAGAGCTGTGGGGATGAGCATGGAGCAATGGGAGGTGTAGGGGTTATGGGGCTGAGCATGAGGGGTGCCGAGAGCTGTGGGGCTGAGCATGGAGCATTGGGGGGTGTAGGAGCAATGGGAGGTGTAGGGGCTATGGGGCTGAGCATGAGGGGTGCCGAGAGCCGTGGGGCTCAGCATGGAGCAATGGGAGGTGCAGGGGCTCTGAGGCTGAGCATGGAGGGATACAGAGGGCTATGGGGCTGAGCATGGACCACGGGTGGTGCAGAGGGCTGTGAGGCTGAGCATGGGGGGGGCTATGGGGCTGAGCATGTGGGGCTATGGGGCTAAGCATGGGGGGGCTGTGGGGCTGAGCATGGGGGGCTGTGCGGCTGAGAATGGTGGGCTATGGGGCTGAGCATGGGAGGGGCTATGGTGATGAGTATGGGGGGGGCTATGGGGCTGAGTATGGTGGGCTATGGGCCTGAGCATGTGGGGCTGAGCATGGGGGGGCTGTGGGGCTGAGCATGGGGCAGCTATGGGGCTGAGCAATGGGGGGGCTATGGGGCTGAGCAATGGGGGGGGCTGTGTTGCTGAGCATGGGGGCTGTGTTGCTGAGCATGGGGTTTGGCTATGGTGCTGAGCATGGGGGCTATGGGGCTGAGAATGGGGGGGGTATGTTGCTGAGCATGGTGGGGTCTATGGGGCTGAGCATGTGGGGCTGTGGGGATGAGCATGGGGGGGCTTATGGGACTGGGCATGATGGGGGCTATGGGGTTGAGCAGGGGGCTATGGGGTTGAGCTTGGGGTGTCTATACGGCTGAGCATGGGGGTGTCTATGCCGCTGAGCATGGGGAGGCTGTGGGGCTGGGCATGGGGTTGTCTATGCAGCTGAGCATGGGGAGGCTGTGGGGCTGAGCATGGGGTGGGGGCTGTGGGGCTGAGCATGGGGTAGGGGCTATGGGGCTGAGCATGGGGTGTCTATGGGGCTGAGCATGGGGTGGGGGCTGTGGGGCTGAGCACAGCCCATGGGGCCCTGAGGCTGACCCAGAGGCCCTGACAGGCTGCAGAGCTATCGGTGAGGTTCGGGTGGCTTTGGGGCCCCTGAAGCAAGCTGGGCTCCCGGTGCTGGGGTGGGGAAGCTCATGGGGACCGGGGGTCCTATGGAGCCCCCAGGAACCCCCGGTGAGGAGCCGAGGCCTCGGTGCTATGCAGCTTGTGGGGCAGCGTGTGGGTTCCATTCCCCCCCCCGCCCCATAGAAGAAGAGCCGGGAGGAGTCGAGCGGCGAGGGCAGCGGCGTGGAGATCCTGGCCAACCGGCCCTACAGCGAGGGCCCCGGCGGCAGCGGGCAGTACACGCACAAGGTTTACCATGTGGGCTCCCACATCCCCAGCTGGTTCCGGGCGCTGCTCCCCAAGGCCGCGCTGCAGGTGGAGGAGGAGTCCTGGAACGCTTATCCCTACACCCGCACCCGGTAGGAGCCCGACGCAGGGGGGGAGAAATGGGGCGGGATGTGGGGCCGGCCGTGGCTTCAGCGCTTTGACCCCCCCTTTGTCCCCACAGGTACACGTGTCCCTTCGTGGAGAAGTTCTCCATCGAGATCGAGACCTATTACCGGCAGGACGCCGGGCAGCAGCCCAACGTCTTCAACCTGAGCGCCGCCGAGAAGAGGCAGAGGGTCCTGGGTGCGTGCGGAGCAGGACGCGCTGGTGCCCATGGGGCTCTGCTGCACGCGGGGTTTGGCTCACTCCTCGCGCTGGACCTTGTGGGGCGGGGATGCTTTGGGCCTGTGCCCCAAACTCCTTATCCCGAGCTCCCTGCCCAAGCCTTTTTGGCAGTGCTGCTAAACCAGGCTCCACCGAAAGATGGTTTGGGGCTCACGGTGTGCTCTGCCTTCTTCCCTTAACCTATAGGTTGGTTTGCAGGCCTCTTTTTTCCTGGTCCTCCCCTCTCCTTCCGTGTCCTACCCCCCCCGTCCCAGCTTTGTTTCCCAACCCCATTCTGGGATCCCACAGCGGCCTCCATAGGGAGCACTGGAGCCGGCAAAGCCTGTCCCCGTTTCCCCAGGCCCTGGCCTGCTTTCCCTGCTCCAGATCCTTCTCCAAGTCTCGACCCTTCCAGTGCTTCCCTCATGGGCACTGCCAGGAGCCCCCCCCCGGGGCATTGGGATTCCTCCCTCCCCGCCGGCAGCGTTGGCTCCGGTTGCCGCGTCCGGCCTTTCCCGGCGCAGTGGATGCGGTGGGCTCGGGCACCGGAGCACGGAGCGTGACGCGCTGCTCTTAAAATGGAGGCCTAAAATAGGCACCGGGAGGAAATGATTCATCTGACCTATTTCTCTCATTGGCTCCTGCAGCAGCGGGGATGTCCGGCCGGGATGCCGGAGCTCGGGGCCGGGGACCATGGAGCCGGTCCCTGCCGCCACCAGGGATGAGCGCAGAGAGCCCCGTGCCCCTTCTCCTGCCCGCTTTCCCTCCCGGCGTGCCATCTATGGGTTCCCCATGGGGCCCGTTGTGTCCCCCATGGGGCATCTGGCACCGTTGCCAACACAGGTCCCACTGGGATTTGCTTTCCCTCTCCCCCATAGCACTGATTTCGGCCCCATCTCACGTCGCAAAGGGCAGCGGGGGGCCCAGGGCCTTGCCAAGCTCCTTGCACTTAGAAGCAACCAGCCCTGCTGCTTGTCGCATGAGCGGCCCTGCCAGGACCTGGCAGGTCCTGCCTGGCTCCAACCGCAGCGTGCTGCCAGCCGAGCTGCTCAGCCAGCCCGGCAGGCTCGGCTTTAAAGGCCAAGCCTGGTGCCATCATCCCAGGGCTGGCCATGGGGTTTTATGGGCTTGGGGCACCCCTGCTTCCCTTGATGTGGCTGCGGAGGGGCTTTACCCTTTGCACACAGAGGACGGCAGCACAGGCAGCGGGGGCCAGCCCTGGGGTGTCCCCTCAGCCTCTGTTGCTGCTCAGTGTGGGCACCAGCCCATGGTGCTTTCCCACCCCATGGCGTGCCGGGGAGATGTGCGTTGGGGCTCTTCGCGTTTCAGCACGGGGCAAAGCACCTGAACTGCACCTTTTTGACTCTTAAAAAGTCCTTTTTCGCCCCGTTTTTCCAGCCCAAGCTGGAGGAAGAGGCCAGCAGATACCCTGGGGGCAAATAACTGCAGGGTGATGGGGATGGCTTGGGGACAGCCCCATGAGAAGGTCCTGGGACCCCCCCCCCCCCCAAGATGGGGCTGGAGGGAGCTAGGCTGGAGCAGCCCAACTGCAGGGTTGAGCCTGAATGTCCAACCCAGAGGTCTGTTGGATCATGGTTTCCCGGTGCCATCCCTCAGTTTTGGGGGGTTCAGTGCTGTTTTGGGGGATGTCGCTCTTGTACCCCCCAGCTCGATGGGGGCTCAAGGGGTTTTGCTCCATGCCTTGTTATTGGGGTGTAAGGGGGGCAGCTGCAGGATGGAGAGCGTTTGCTACCGGTTGTGTTGGGTGTGTGCACTGTGGGACTAATTTTGGGGGTTTCCCCGCTGATTTTGGTGC